ATCCTGAACCATCCTGGACATATTCAGGATGATCCTGAGGACGTTTTGTGCTGTCTGGGAAAGCTTGCTGACATAACCTGACAGCAAATTGACGGCAAAAACCGAGCAGAGCTTGACATGATTTGACGTCAAATTGGTGGCAAAAATCGAGCAAGATCTGCGCAAGACAATCTGACAGCAGATTGTCAGCAAAAACCGAACAAATTCTGCAGCTTTTGGCCATTCATATAAAACAGTATATTTAAATGGATTTAAAGTCTCAACCCTAAGTAACAAAATGATGATAAGTTTTGGTCATAAAATGATCATTAGATAATCAGACATTATATAAAATCATATATTAATGTGTTAAAACATATAGATAAATTTAAATAATTTAATTTATAAAATTAAAGATCTTTTTGGACAGAAATTGTTCGAATAAGTGAAAATCGAACAATTATTTGTCCGATTTGCCAAAAATCAGTTCAATATCTGAATTTCCTGTATAAGAATTGTGTCAAAAATTGAACTGATAGAAATATATATATTATAAAATTATTAGCATTTTGTAGGCTTTATATACACTCATGACAAGAATTTGAATACGGTATATAGATAATGAATAACGCGCCGCATAACGATAAGCGACTGAACTATTTTATAATACTTTGTAATAAGCTGCAGATTCTGTTCGGTTTTTGCTGCCAATTTGCCATCAGATTGCGCACTCCAGACCTTGCTCAGTTTTTGCTGACAATCTGATGTCAGTCATGTCAGCAAGCTTTGCTCGGTTTCTGCCGCCAATTTGTTGTCTAGTTATGTTAGCAAGCTTTGTTTGGTTTTTGCCGGCAATCTGCCAGCTTAATTGGTAATAACAACTCTTGTACCAAATTTGTAGCCTTCTTGCTGACAATAATTTGTAGCAAGCACTTGGCAATATCTGTTAGAACAGACGTGGCTGACTGGGTAAATTTAGCATTATAATAAAAAACAATTTTTTTACATTAAATTATGAAAGAAAAAATTTTCCTCTGGCCATCGAAGTAAAAAGTCCACTCTTCACTTTTCTAGGATTTTCCTAAATTCGGCAGATCTAAACAGATGAAAATACAAAATTAAAAATTTTAAAGCAACGCAAAAGAGAAAGGAAAGGTAATATTCTTTTGTTCAATATTTTTTTTTGCAATACTTAGGTCAGGTTGCACCAACATTATTTTGGATTTAAGCGATACTTAAACATATGTCTTTATCTGTTTTTTTAAATTAATAAAGATAGACACATATTTAAGTCTTGTTTAAAACCAACCCAGTGAGCAATATGTTATCAAAAGAAATTCATAAAGTACTCAAGTTTAAGAGTCGGACTTCCGAAAACACCATCAAAATGATAATATTATGATATCAATAAGTCCTCCAATGCGTCGATTTTAGAGGAAAGAAAGACATCATATAATTGACATCTAAAAGAATTCCACAATCTGACTTCTTATTTTAAATATCAAAAAGCCGCACACATGCGCAAGCAACGTACATGTGAACTAGAGACCCTGTGTTCTAGTGTGAACTGCGTGCCACTGCATGCTCTGGATTTCAAAGAGATAGCATTTCTTCAATATTAACGTTTTTAAGATAATCTTTCTTTCTTAAATTATAAATATTATTAAATATGTATTTGAGCATAAAATATATTAATATTTTCATATATATTTTTGTTATTTCTATATTTAACCTAAGAAGTTGGGTTATGTCTTCAAAAAATGTAAAGGGCGTTTTTTAATTCATCGATTGATCAATCGCATATGATGCGCAAGTACAGCAAAGTCCTGTATTTGCTACATTTGTGCATCATGCGATTGATCAATCGATGAATTAAAAAACGCCCTTTACATTTTTTGAAGACATAACCCAACTTCTTAGGTTAAATATAGAAATAACAAAAATATATATGAAAATATTAATATATTTTATGCTCAAATACATATTTAATAATATTTATAATTTAAGAAAGAAAGATTATCTTAAAAACGTTAATATTGAAGAAATGCTATCTCTTTGAAATCCAGAGCATGCAGTGGCACGCAGTTCACACTAGAACACAGGGTCTCTAGTTCACATGTACGTTGCTTGCGCATGTGTGCGGCTTTCGTAAAATATCTTAAATGGCACGCTTGCTAGAGATTTTAGAGATATCTATGAAGAGATATCATAAAGAGCTCTTGTGAAAGATATCTTACAAAAAGATAACTTACTGATATCATTTCTAAGAAAATTTAATTAAGTCTTTAAAAAGTTCTCTTAAAGAGCTCATCCTCTCAATAATGCTCACTGGGAAGATAACAATCGGTTGCAATCGGGCCGTAATACTTTTCTATAATATTAACCATCAAAGAAACTTTAACAGTTCCCAAATAGCACTATGATGTCTAAAATGATCCTTAAAGAACTCCTACGTAAGATTTAGACATCCTATTATATCTTCTTAAATATATCATAAGTGCTTCAGAAATTATTCTTATGCGTCGCTTTCAGAAAAAAATAAGATTTCTTCGAAAAGACATCAAAAAGAAAACTTTTCTTAGACTTCTTAATGAGATATCTAAAAGATATCTATTCTACGAATTCACACATATGATGTCTTGAAGACATCTGTTGTACAATTATTTAAGATTTCTGGCGGATGTCAGTTTGTAAATTTCTTATATTAAGAATCGAATGAAGTAAACTGGAATATGACAAATAATAAAAAACGAATTTATAATATCAAGCTAAAGTTGTCAAAAATATCGTCCTGTTCTTATTCATCCTTTAATAAGCTTCGATTTACTCCAGTTTACAACATACAATTTAATAAGTAACTGAAAAAACAATTTAAACAAAAAACAATTCAAATAAACCCGCATATTTAATTTATATCTATATTTTTACTGAGCCTAAAAAAATTGTATAGTGTAAGAAATCTTCACAAACAAATATGATATTATAGACTTATTCAGGTGTCATTATTTTATTATTGAATAATAAAATAACAAGTACATGAACCTTCTTTCGAAATTATATTCCTAAACATTATATTTCTAATATAAAATAGTTTTGATGATTTTTAACAAATAATAAATTTATTGAACTTTAAACGGTTTGACTATATTTAGAATTATCAATCGGAACTTAACATTTAATATATCTGTAGATAACATATAGGATTAAAAAAGTCGCGAATATAATATATATTATAAAATAAAACAAACAATACATATAAATTTTTATATGAAAATTTTAAAATTATGTTTGAGCGTGTTTTTTTCTGTATAACGAACTCGATCACTTGCATGTTGCAGCCATTTTTGAATAGTATCTTGTACGTCAAAGATTGTACAGTTACGCCCGGAATTGATCATAGATTCTGAAATCAAAAGTTATATAGTTAGAAAATAAGTATACTGCAATAAAAATATCTATACTACTGATGATTGGCAATTTTTGTGGGAACCATCAGGGAATTTGTTATAACTCATACATGAAGAATATTAGAATATTATAAGAATATTAAAATTGTTTAATATTTATAAGCTTGTGCAATACCTTTTAGTTAAAAAATGAATTACATAAAGACTTTTAAACAAGTGGCAAAATTTATAAAAATGAAAAAAGTTGTTATAAAAATATAAAATTAAAAAATAAGTTTTTCAAAGTAAAACTTTAACGATAACGTTTAAAAATAATAATATGTTACTATTTCCACACTAGTATGACAACTGCGGCTATTATTTTACAATATAAGTTACTATGCTATCGCTCTTATTGTTATTATTACTTTTATTATTAAAATAATAATAATAAGAATAATAATAATAATAGTGATTCGAAGTTATATAAAAAAGTGCATATACTACTATGAAGACAAAAATCATGTACCTATCATTATGTCCACAAACTTCATATCTTTTACTTTGATAGTTTTTTTCTGTCCTGTCCATGATAGTTTGCATGAAAATTCATCGTTTAATATTAATGTCAAAGCTTGTCGAACATGTTTTTTGACATCTTTACCGCCAATATTTTTAATCATTTTTTTCTGAAAAATAATATAATATGTATTATTACGACAGTTGAAAACAATTAAGATTACAGACCTTAAATCAAAATCGTTAGTTAAATTGTAATAAAAAAAGCTTCTATTCTATATTTATAAGATTAAAATAAAAAATAGCAAGTGTGTGTATTATACAGATAATAGATAGATAAGTAGATAGTTAGATAGATAATCAACCAAAAATTATGCGTAATTATGAGCATTTTTACTACATTGTAAAATTAAAATCAATCTTTTTAAAAATTTAGAAAGTGGAATACATAAAATATTTACATATTGTGCACGAGCTGTTGCATCTTCCTTTAATAATTTATTAAAATTTTCTAATTCTTGAACTGTTACTTCGAAATCGGAAATTGTGGTAGTGTATTTCCATCATTTCGCTGGGGTTCGTTTCCATTTAAATCTACAAAATGCATATCAATTGTGTTTATCTTATGCAATATAACTTGCATATTATGACGACATGCTTCTGCAAATAGAAACATAGCGTTAGTCAGTTGACTTGTGTAAATTATCTCTAAATCTCTAAAACTTCTCGCTTAGATGAGTAAAAGATCATTACAATTTCATAATAAAAATTTAATTAACTGTAAAAGTCTTATATAAAATGTTAAAATTTACTCAAAAGTTTAATCTTGATTTTTCAATCAAACAGGATAATTCTCTTCAAGAAGTTAACAAAAAATTGAATAAAAAATGTATTTAATCAATATAGCGATCTCATCTGCTCGTACTTACTACAACAGAATGTATGATGTTGATACGTAGAAGACTCATTCTCATTTATTATATATCAGTAGTAGGTATTTGCTTAGAGGAATCAGAATCGTCTTGAAACTGAAGAGTTTCTTCCTGTTCTTTTTTTGCAGTACATGTTGCAATTCGTATTGGTATATCTATTTTAAAAAACAATAAGATTCATTAATTTAAGATGGATAATAATTCCGCTTATATATAATAATATCAAGTTTAAAATTCGATAAATTTTTTCATAAAATAATGGTTTAATGAGAAGTTCAATTTATTGTCGAATAAAATAAAAATTAAATTTATATAAATAAGAAAAAATAATGTTTGAATTTTTTATCGAATCAGCTTAAAACAATAGCGTAGTAAATTAAAAATTTATGTACTCGTCTATTTTTACATTTTTTTGATTAAATTTTTTAATCAACATTTTTAAAATGATATTGAAAAACAGTCATTCTTTTATAAAACATACTTAAAAAACAAATTGAAAGTTAATAATATTTGTAATTAAAACTTTTTTATGCAGTACCTGCTGTTGATGATTGACAACAAAACTTACTTGTATTAACTACACTGCGAATTTTTGGTTTATCAGGTAAAATTTGTTGTGCCTCTAGCCGCTAAGGAAGAGGTCTTTAGGGATTTATACGCCCAAAGGATTAGGATCCACGCTCGAAATAAGACACTCCCGGACGTTAGGTA